TGATGGGGATGACGGCATAGTTGGGCGAGAGCAGGCCGCGGAGAGTGAGCATGCAATGCCTAACGGACTCTGCGGTAGTTCCGGTGCCTTTTTTCTCTCAAAAGTAAGATTTGTATTCTTGTTTATTATGAAAGGAATAAAAATGGATATAAATATTGACCTGTGTAGACGAGGATGTTGAGTCTGCTTGGCGGCATGATGATGTTTTTTTGCCCGAGAACCGTCGAATGTCGAGGCGACCCGCCACTTGGAACTGAGCTATAATAATTTCGCTCTTACACAACAACAGCAACCAACCAACAGATGTTTTATCTTCCTATCCTTATTTTTCCCAAGCTCAAGACGTGATCTTGAACAACAATGGGCTCACAAAACTCCAAGAGTTCGGAAGAAGAAAAGCCCCCAGCGGTAACGGAAGAGGCGGCCGTGGAAGAGGAAGACGAGGATGAAGTGGACGAGTGGTAAGGAAAAAGAGAAGCCCTCTTTTGCGGTTATTCGAGGTCCGAATCTGATGCTAAGCCGTCCGTCACGATTTGATGGGATGTAGGGACAAGCGGATATTCAGCACAGGTTGCGCAGGTGAGAAGATTCCCCAGTCAAGTCGACGCCAATATGCATTCCCCAGCGGGATGATCCAATGCTTTTATATCAAGCTGTCAAGGCTGGGCACTCCGATTCTGGACGGGGGGAGGAGGGTGTGTGGGTTCCAGCAGTGAGAGAGGGTAGAATGCTGACTCAGTCATGATGATGGCAGATGAAAACGACAAAATGAGAGATTGTCACTTTACCAAGAAGAATTGGAGTGAATGCTTTGAAGAGGTACGTCATTCCATATATAAACCAAGCAATAATTTATTTCGTATCTTTTTTCCCTAGATTTTTCTAATGCGAGTATGTATAGATTGAGCAATTCAAAAAGTGCTGGAAGGCCCATGGCAATGAGCAGCGAACCAGCCAAAAAGACATATAACTTGGGTGACTACTACTAAGTAGATGGGAACGTGTACGATATGAAGAGCACTGTAAAAATAGATTCTCAACCCTAATTCTCTCGTTTCTCAGCTATATCAGCCATTGAATGAAATGCAAAAATAAAAATAAGAAAAATATACATATTTATTGTACTATCAGTGCTCTCTGTCTGTGCTTGACGAATTCGCTGGTTGCACAATGACTTTGCCCACCAAAAGTGCGGAGCCGGAAAAAAGATCAGACGTAAATTCAGAGAGGGACGCCTTTGGAACCTTTCGAGCTTCCCTGCTCCAAAACGAATTGTGAGTCCCGACAAATCCGCACTCCCCAAACACCACACCAATTCCAGTTTTTTCTCCTTTCCGTCGCAATGTTTGCCTCGCGAAGGGCCGTGTCCATGGCCTCGGGGCGACTCTCATGTCGCGCCAGCCGCTCAATCGCACAACCAGCCCGCTTTTATGCCACCGAGAGCACGACGACGCCCACATCCACATCCACATCCACAGAGGAGAGCAAGCCGAAACCAACCCCCACAACATTCAAGCCAAGGGCCAAGCCCACCGTCGCCGCAGCCACGCCCGTATCGCACAGCGAGGTCGTCTACCAGCCCAGGCCCATCGGGTACGACGCGCCGCTCGAGGGCGCCGAGTCGCCAGAGGTTGTTCGCATCGACTGGGCGCGGAGCTACCACGGCATCGGCGTCAAGCCCGTCACGGAGAAGCAGTTCAAGATGCTCATGGAGCCCCTCGAGGAGAAGGATATAGAGGTCAAGCCCGATGGCATCATTTACCTGCCCGAGATCAAGTACAGGAGGAAGCTGAACGAGGTCTTTGGGCCCATGGGGTGGGGCATCATACCCAAGGGAGAGGCCGTAGTGGGCGACTCAATCGTAACCCGAGAATACGCCCTCATCATTGATGGCCGGTACGTTTTTCTCCCCCCAAAGGAAAAGAAAGAAAAAAGAAGAAGAAAAACCCCCCAATCACTTGATAGCTTCAACTAATCACTTTTTTTGTTCTTTTTACTACAGATTCGTCTCCCAAGCCCAGGGTGAAAACTCCTACTTTAGCCCCGAACAGCTCCCCTCCGCCGTTGAAGGCTGCAAATCCAACGCCCTCATGCGCTGCTGCAAAGACGTGGGCATCGGCTCCGAGCTCTGGGACCCGCAGTTCATCAGATGGTTCAAGAAGAACCACATGGAAGAAGTCTGGGTCGAGCACTCAACCACCAAGAAGAAGCGAACATTCTGGTACAAGAAGGGTATGGTAGAGGTGGCATATCCCTGGAAGGTCTCTAAATAAACAAACCGAGGGATGGGGTTCAAAAAAGGAAAAAAAGGATCGGTTTGTGGGCGTTGGTGGTAGATTGCCGGCGTTTTCGAGGCAGTGGCATGACTGAAATGACAAAAAGGGTTTGATGAATGGATGGGCGGTACGGCATATGTCCTTACGATATTGCGGCCCGTTTGGTAGATTTGCTGGCAGACGTGCCGGCATCTGTGTACAGTAAAAGCAACAGTGGCATATATCACTATGTCACTTGATGAGATCACTTCCCCTCTAGATAATGATACAACTATCGAGCACATGTGGTTCAGAGCAGCATATCTCGAATATGATCCATCCTCTTCCCTCCTCCAAGTCCAAGTCCAAGTCCAAGTCCAGGGGGTCCAAGATATCCACGACCATATACAAGCTTGCTTCCTTTCCAGTCTAATGATAATGAATCTACACCAGCATGCCAAAATCTCGTAGGGTCCATTCCCGGCGGAGCGCCTAGTCCTCCCGACCGGAAGTCTTGCCTGTATCAGGGTTTCGGCCCCATGGCATCCACGAGGCACCACCATCCTCAGTACCAGCATTACGGCGTCGAATAGTGCCATCATCCTCGGTGCCGCTGTCGACATCAATCTTCTCGAAATCCGTCTCGCTGCGGCTCTTGCTGATGCCACTCCACATGCTGAGTCCACTGGGGGGTCGCTGAGTGATCTCTTCCTCGCTTTCATGGCCAGATCGGGGACGGGAAATGGAACGAGAGTTTCCTCCTTGAAGCTGGGCTGCCTCACGGTCAAGTGCGGTGAGCAGTATGTTAAGACGATCACGCTGAGCAGCAATGAAGGTCATCCTCTCCCTCGAGTCCTGCAAGTGGGCGGGGATGACGGACGCAGAGTGTACCGGTGCCGCCGAACCGCCATGCTCGCCCCGAACCGCAGCGCCAGTGGCTGCCGACACGGCGCCGGCCAAGAGGTTGTAAAATTCGCTTCCAACACTTCCTGCAGCGCTGGATGCGGCGGTGGGGATGTTAAACCGAGCGAGGAGAGCCGAGGTGTAACCCTGAGCAGCCGCAGCCGCAGTAGGGGGAGGGGGAGGGTCGTGTTCAGTGGGAGGCAAGCCGAGGATCTGAGTCCTCAGATAGTCGATGGCGCGGCGCACATAGGTAATGCCGGCGGCCTTGAGACGATCATGAGCACTGGCTATGAAATCATCGATCTGTCCTTCGTTTTCGCGGAGGAACGGGTGGATGTATTCCTCGTAGAGAACGCGAGCGCCCTGCGTCTGGGGGAGGATGAGGTAGAGGAAGAAGAAGAGACGAATGTAGCCATAGAATGGTACCCTTGAAAGAATTTAATGTTAGGGAGGTGATTCAAGTCAAGCCAAAGAGGGAACCTATACAAACGGGGAGATGCGTACCAGGAGACAATGAAGTAGACCCAAGATTCAGCGAGCAAGGCGCAACTGAAGACCACCCAGTACATGAGCCATGGCGTCAACTGTGCGGGATCCGAGGTCTTGAGAGCTTTGTAGGATGCGAAGATGGGGAAGAGAAAGGATGCGATGGAGCTGTCGACAGTGGTTAGCTTGGGCTAGTCAAACTTTTGGTGTTCTGGTTTTGTTCTGGTGTTTTGTTCTGGTGTTCTGTGTTTGGCCAGTGACGACATTGGCGGGGCAGTGAGTGGCAGTGGCAGTGGCAGTTCCAGTGGTGGTGGTGGTGGCAGATACGCACGATAAGAGCATGGCAAATAGGTCGAACATGGCTGCGACAGGTTGCGGACGAAGCCAACAGAGGCCTTCAAGTCCCGTCCTGGGGGGTAGTCGATGAGTGGTGCAAAAGAGATACTTTTAAATGGGGATCAAAGGAATAAACAAGCAGCAGTCATTCGAGATGGAGGGAGAAGTTGGGCAGACTTTGTGATATTTTAAGGGTTTGGTTGGTCCAGGTATTAATTAATAAGAGAGATGTCAAGGTATTGGAAGAAGAGGGGAGAGGAAGAATGGAGCTCTGGGCAGCCCCAAGGAATGGACCCAAGTTTGGGCACTTCCTCCGGGGGCTGCAGTGGCGTTGGAGCTCCCCCTCTAAACCCCCCGGAAGCATGGAGCACTGGAACCTACAGAAGCAGGGCGGCGTAGACTGGATTTGGATGTCACGGCGGGGACAAAGAGAAGTCGTGTGAGCATGGAAGACCCGAAGCGAAAAAAGGGAGGAAAAGGACGGGCCAAGATGATCCCTGTAAGGGCTGCTGGAATGCACTCGTGACTGGTGATTTTACGGTGCATGTACCCGCCTTTTGTTCCATATCATGACCTTGCAGTATACTTGTAGGTAGGCAGATGTGAATGTACCCAAGAGCCCTTGAAACTTCCACGACGTAAACTGTACCATGTCAATTTGCATGTGATAATGCCCATGACGGATGCAAGGGGGAGAGAAATCTTCCAACAATTTACAGAAGAGAATTGAGAAAAAGCTTGATTGGAGGCTAGAATTTAACGATTGAAGAATAAATTATACACTACCTCTATACGTCACAGTCAGTACAATTTGATCGAAGCCATTACAAAGTGTAAGACAAGTAGTCGTATTCCGTAGTACCTAGTAGTAGAAAACATGGATGGGGGCACACGATCACAAGAACAGGCACGAAGCTGGTTGCGTCACTACGTTACTCTTCCGCCCCTCCCTCCCCCTTCCAGCAGGTCAGTATTAGCTGATGGTCTGAATTAGGGCCTGCCTCCTTCATCAGAAGCGATTCCTCCATGGCGCAATTGGCTAGCGCGTCTGACTGTTAATCAGGAGGTTGGAAGTTCGAGCCTTCCTGGGGAGATCATTCAATCTATCTAAACTTTCTTTTTTTGTCTTTTTTTTCATTATTGGATTGAACATTCATTTATACATTGAGATTCAGCCTCCTTTTTGCATTACCAACATGTGTAGGTTTGTAGCACATCTGCATCGTCGAAAGGTGCCAATTGGTATGCTTGTTATATCAGAGTAATCTGTCCAACGACTCAAGCCCATTCACACATCACACTGCATCCACAGTTGTATGATTCAAAAGCAGAGACATATCCGAATTCTAGCAGAGAATCTCTATAAGCGATACAAAGTACGGAGTCATGAAGAGATCATGTGGCCATCTGACCATAAGCGGCTTATTGATCGACGCATCCCCAACTCAGGTGGTCTCCCTGCGGCCAATGACTCAAGCTTCCTCTCCTCGACATGCTCTAGAGCAAATACAAACAAACGTAACAAGCTTTCCACCAAACGCCAGGCTCAATTCTTCTACCATATTAGCAGCTTGCCAATCGCAACCCCAACTCGCTGAAGATACGTCGGTCCATACGTCAACGCCATATACGCCGAGCCCAGGATGGTCAACCATGATAGAACGCCTCTAGCAATGAGAACTCGCTTGAAGAACTTCATCTGAGCCGCATCATTGACCCATGGGAACGGTTCATTCTTCGGCGGCTCCTTGCCCAAGAACTCGCACAGCGGCTCCCAGCCCTCGTCGGCTCGCCACTGGAGCACCTTGCGGCCGCGCTTCTCCGCCTCCTGGAGGACATAGCCCTGGAAGAAGTCGTAAAAGGCTTCGTCGTCGATGTTCTTGACGCCCCAGCGTTGCACGCACCTCTGTCTGACGACCTGGTGGGTGGTCCAGTGCAGACGGTCCGTCTTGATGGGGAAACAGCAGAGGTAGTACGTCAACGTGCTGAAGAAGCCGATGCTGTCGTCGAAGCTCTTCACCCATGCGGCAGCACCTCCCTTTCGCTGGTTCAATACCACGGCGGCATCCGGATACATGTCCATCAGGTCGTCGATGAACCAGAAGCCGGGGAAATCAGTCGTCGCCTGGTAGCCGTCGAATATCTTATGAAGAAGTGCCTGTCTCTTCTCTTTGTCGTCCTCCCGCAGAGCATCGATGACAATTTGGGCCCGCTCAGAGTAAGGAAGAACATGGGCCATGTGCATGCATGGGAAGTAACCCAGTGGTGGCATCTCGAGTGCGGCTTGGAGGGATGACGTTGCGCATCGCGAGAGGCCGGCTCCGATGACCTTCATCTGTTGCCCATCAGCCTCTCGTTTAGAGTCGATGTTATCTAAAATAAAACGCATGATGATGTTGGGTGAAAGTTATATGAGGAAGATGATGGAAGATCTCAAGATGAAAGTAATGCCCAGAAGCAACAGATGTTCCCACGGAAGGGGGGGGGGGATGCAGCGGGTTCTTTTATCATGGTTCGATTTATATAACCGCCCAGCTCATTAAATAACGGACATTGAATCCCCCGAGTCTGTTAGTTTGTAGAATCATGATGCATGTTGGTCAGGAATCAGGATGATATACTAAGACAACACCCTGCCCTAACAGACGAGTGTCATCTGAACCTTCCTCAACAAGCCATCCATCTACCAGAAGGATGCGCCGAGAACAGCATGCTAATCAGCACGGAGACATTTCCCTACTGAAGAGTCGCTCGCCCAGGTTTATAGCAAAATATGGCCCGACTGGGCATGGTGACAAGTACGGTATCGATAGAGGTTCCCAGTGAGCTGGTGTTGAAGACGCACAAAGTTGCCACAAATGGCTCCTTAGCACACGCAGCGGCTACCCAAGCAAAAGGCAGAAAGCTGCGCCTAATCGGCTAACGGCAAAGTCATGCTTACGAAATTAGCCAATGATCCAATGATGGAAGTGTCATCAAAGGCAAGGCAGCCTGTAGTTGCTTCAGCCGCAGACAAAGTTATCAAGTGCTTATTATGGCGATATAGTCAAACGTTAGGCAAAGCCCAAGGGGGGAGATCACTAAGGAGAAGAAAATTGGGGTCTGCGAGTAGGTCTTTTCTCATTTTGCGTCAGAATTGTTTAAATTAAGCATACCGATTATATCAGGTAGGAGGGAAGTAGGATATCATATCATGCAAGAGATTGCGGTCAGCCGCCGCTCAGCCGAGCTCCTCAATAGCCAATCAACTCGGCGCAATCGTATCGTTGGTGAGATCTCTGTCTCTCTCTCTCATAGTCGATCCGGCCACAGTTCCCTGGCGACGTCCTTGACCAACCTCAACTTGGCAAACATCTTTTCTTCCGTCATCCCATCGGCGCCGACCGAAACGCTGGCAAACCCGCACTGCGGGCTGATGCCAATGTTCTCCATGACGTCTTCTGCACTTCGCCCCTGGCCCTCTGCGATGATCTGGGCGGCTTCGCGAACCCGCCGCTTGATCACCTCGGGGTCCTCCAGCTCGGGATCCTTGGTGGTTACCACGCCGAGGACGACGTTCTTGTGCTTGGGGAGGAATCGTAGGGGCTCGAAGCCCCCGAGCGAGGGTTGTCGTATTCGAGGAAGAAGGTGTCGTAGTTGAGGGTGGCGAAGAAGCGCTCGGCGATTTTCTCGTACGAGCCTTCGCTGAAGTGCATCGACTTGGAGAAGTTGCCTAACCCCCCATGTCAGGTTAATAAGTTTTTTGATTGGCAAGAAAGGGTAAGTCAAGGGTTCTACTCACCTCTGCAGATGTGAAGTCCGACGTGCAGGCCGTCTGGGCGATCTGCAATGCAATCATTATGCGCCTTCAGGTACAGCTCAAACAGCTCATCCGGGTCCACGCCATCGGCTCTAAGCGACTCCCGCATCTCGTCTGAACAAAAGTAAGCCAGCGTCGGGTCGTCGATCTGAAGGTTACGCAGCCCCTCGTCAAACAGGGTTCTAATCTCTCTGCGGTACACCTCGGCCAGGTCGGCAAAGAAGTCTTGGTCGCTCGCGTACGCCTGGGGGCTGTAGCACTTTCCCGGCGCCAGTCTCAGGTGGAAATAGCACGGCGGCGGCATCGTGAACTTGCATTCTGCCCACTGCTCCTTGGGGAGCGTGTCGCGCAGCATCCGCCAGTTTTCGAGATACGGGCTGCTGTCGTAGCTCATCTTGGCCTCGCACAAGGCAGCCATGGGGTACTGCTGCCCATTTCTCTTCAGGGCCGCAATGGGAGGCGCAGAGAGGCGGGTCAGTTCCCACGGCACGGGGCTCACCTCCCGGCAGCCCGTGATTTTCTCAAAGAAGCCCGAGAAGTAGTACTTGCGGTCGAACTCGCCGGACGTCAGGCTGCAGACGCCGTGAGCCCTCTGCTTGCTCACAATGTCGGCAATGGCCGCGAGCTGGGCGGCCTGGAGATCAGAGGCCGTGACCTCGCCTTTGTCGGCTCTTTTTTGGGTTTCGAACAGTGAGGCTGGGCGGATAAAGGACCCGATGTGGTCGGCGTGGAAGGGAAGCTTTGTGGCAGCCATGACTGATTGATGAGTTGGATGGATTTCTATGAGGGCAAAGTGATATGTGTCCAAGTGACGTTTGAGGGCAATGACGAGACAGTCGGCAAGTTATCAATGTGGTGGTCGCAAAGATGGTCTCGTCATATAAAGTACCTCCGGAAGGTTCTTAAAACAGAACAAGCGCCGAAAAGATATTGCCCTCTTTCGTTCATACCAGCAAACCCTCATGATAGTATCCTTTTTTTGCCAAGCATTCTCCCCCCGGCACCAACTACAGCATCAGCGGGCGGTGCAGTTTGCTTCCCAATTGCGACCCGGGCCGGTGTGGTGATGCACACTAACACGAGGTTTTCCGAGTCATGGTGATGATTGTTGGTTGGGCGTATGACGTTGCAATCTCGCAGTGAATGAAAGGGCTTGCATATAACAGCATACCTATCCATGTTCGGGTTTTCGGGAGTTGATGTCGGTAAAGGTCTTGTCCTATCATTTGATCCGGCATTTGGGGGGAGGGGAGGAACAAAAAGGAAATCAATCGGTGAAGCGATATCGACGCCCGCCTTGTTCGTCTACGCTTATACAGTTTGATGTTAGTACGGTTTTGTTTGCTGTTCAATCTGATTGTTGCTTAATCGCGTAGTCGCCGTATCATGACCGAGGTCAGGTATTGTTTTTGCTCAATTACTACCCCCTTTTTTCTTCTTCAGCATTTTCCCTTGCTCTCGTCTAAGAAAGATGTGTGAGATGTTCTGTGTGCCGCTTCTCCTGTGGATAAAACCAACGTGTTCATATAATTTTAATAATGGAATGAAGAAGTTCGGTGCCATTTAACCCGAGACTCTTTTATCGCGTCTCTCTTTACGCGTTTTCTCCGCAGGGCCGTGGCCATGATGGATTGCCCTACTTGTTTTACTCCATCACACAAATACAAGGTATATTATATGCATCACTTTCCCATATACACCTTGATCGTATTGGCATGCCTTTGTATGCGTGATAATCCTACACCTGTTGCATCAAGAATTTGCCTTACGCGCAGTACATACAAGTAGATACTCATCGCGTTTACAAGTCAGGGCATCTTGACCAATCGATACAGAGTACAAGCACTAAGTTGTAAAGTGTCTCATTATCAGATGACATTCCTCAAATCCGGCGTTGGGCTCTACGAGACATGCCGATGAGCCGAGGCGAAGAGAGGAAAGGCATGACTCCAGTCAGTATACTTGCCGATACTATGCGAAGGACTTTTGTATGAGACATAACACGTAATACTCACGGATGAATCGAGTTTCTCAAGATGTACATTCGTAATAGTAGACTGAAGAAAATTGATAACTAAAGCCCGAGCTTCCTACGGCTCGTTGGAAATAGGAAATGCTTCTCTGTCGGAGCAATTCAGCTACGGCTTGAGCGAGAATAGATTAACAGAGTAAGTATACTGCGTTTCTTAATCTATACCAATAAAAATCAACACAGATATTCAAAGACAACTACAAGTATGCCAAACGTCGCCAAACTTGGCTCCATTGATACCGCAAAACAGTTACCCTGTTGATG